GGGTTACTGTATAGAAAAACCTTTTTTTTTTTTAAACAGGGTATAGTAGTTATTTTCAAAACTGACTATATATTTGGTAGTTATTAATGTGTTATCATTGACATATTTAAGAATTTTTTTTTAATATAATAGTATATGTGATTTTATTTATTTATTTATTATTTATTTTGTGTGTGTGTGGGTGTGTGTGTGTGACATTGGTTTACCCAATGATTGAATAATAGATAATAATGAAATGTCATATTATTTCTTATTGTAATATGATTGCATCATATATATAGAATAATATTTTTACATCATCATATACTACTATGAGTTTATAAAAGCAATGATATCCTGCTTAACAAGAAAGGTGCATATAATTAAATCTTGCTAAAATAATACTCCTTCTGTCCCTTATATTTTGCCCCATAATGTAATGTTACTTTATTAAGTTTTGGTTGGAAAAAAGTGATGAAAGAGAAAAGTGGTGGGGTTAATGGGGTGGTTGTGAGAGTAGAAATGTGGACCCATATGTCCAAAAATAAAATGGGGCAAAATTAAAGGGACGGACTAAAAAGGAAATTGGGGCAAAAATTAAGGGACAGAGGGAGTATATAGTAGAGTATAACCCGAAATTCTTTAGGTTCCCTCGGCAATTCTAGCAAAATTGTCTTATTCAAATTATGCGATACTCTTGCAAGCCTTTATGGCTTTTTTCTGTGGCGTTGACAAGTAGGCAAATAGCAATCCTTATTTGAACCAGATGGAGGAGATGGAATTTTAGTACTCTGAACATCGAAAGGGTTAGTCTCGGCCTTTTGCACTACTTTCTCATTTTGAGCTTCATGTTCAACAAACTTTAGCTTTTGCTTCCTACTACAACTTCCATGTTGTATAGAAACAATAGTTAGCAACAAAAATAAGATCGTCAAAGGTTTGGTTACTTTGAGGATGGTGTTCATTTTGTTGGTTATAACTTTTCTTATATGTGTATGTTTCTATGTATAAAAGATCTTATATTATGATCTTAAATTTCTCTGCTCTGTTACAATGAAAATGTTTCTACACTTATATCTTTTGTTTTGCTAATTACATAAAGGTTGAGAGTTACTCCCATTCCAAGCCATTCATTAAATATATCAAAAGCTAATAAAAGTATATCAATTATAGCTTTCCTTTTAATATGTACGGTGATTGTTGATATTGTAATATAATTAAACTAGTTAAATCAAATGATCTACGGAATGAATCAAATGGGAGTTTGATGTTCGAATGTTTATTAATGTTCTAAAAATGGGAATTTCGATTGTGATAGATTGATAGGTATACCTACATAATGATTGAGAAATGTAAAAGTAATCGATCAAATTCCAAGCAATTAGGGCATTAGTTGTATGAGAATTCTCCACAAAATCAGTCAAATTTGAGTGTTATTTTCACCACCTCTATGTACCAAATACTTTTGAACATATGATCATAATAGATAATGTAATTAAACATAAAGAAGGCGCATGAAAATTAAACATGTTATGTAATGTTAAATATTAATGGAAAAAAATTGATCTGAAAATTACCCAAATAGTACTCAACACTGCATTGTTATGATTTAGTTGTACAGCATTACTCACTATCAATAGATGTACTCACTATTAAAATTATGTCTCAATTAAGCTAAATTTTGCTACATATGACACAGTATAAAGCACTCCTTTTGTCCCTAACTTCAAGCAAATTATTTCAGATTTCATGTCCCTAAATAAACAATACTACAAGAAAATGCAGGGTTACCAATAACTTGCTACATACTGGCGGCTAGTTTGAACTTTTGATCAATAGATTTTAAAATCTTCAAAAAAAATTCATTTGGATGGAAACACTTACTTTTAAGTAATCATTTTTAATCAACAATTTTTTTCTAATTTCATTATATATTCTCTCCATCCCCTCCCCCCCTTTAATAGTAAAACCAATCTATTAACTATTATTAAAACAGGAAAATTTTTTTATTTTTTTTTTGAAGAAACCCATGGAGCTATATATTAAGAAGATAAATCCAAAGTGGCAAGAGTTACAATACTTTGCAGGAAAGGGGCAAATCGAACTATTTCCGATGCACTGCCCAAATCACTTCTAGCAACTAAATGGGCCACAGTGTTACCAACCCTTTTCATATGAGAAAAGAAACATAGGTCAAAAGAGGCTCTAAATACCGTGATATCCCGATAAATAGAGAATATAGGCGCTCTACCAATATTCGAACACGAAATCGAGTTGATCACATTTAGCGCATCGGACTCCACCGATATTTTCCTATAGCCAAACTTCTTTGCCATCAAGAGAGCATATCTTATAGCTTGGGCCTCAACACATTTAGGGGAAGAAAGAGGAACTCGTCTCGTGGCTGTTAAGATTAATTGGCCATCATGATCTCTGAACACCACCCCCAACGCTGCCATATTATTTTCACCTAAGTGGGCATCCACATTAATTTTCACACACCCCACAACTGGCTCTTCCATTTGGTGGCAGAACGCTGTGAGGGAGCTGCTGCCTTCTCCAAAACGCGCCCAGCATATCCAGTATACTCAGCCACATAATAATTGCATGAGCCTACCGCAACCTTTACGGAATCAGGTTCTGAGTTCTCGAACACCTTGATGTTTCTACAGCGCCAGGCCGCCCACATCAAGGCAGCCATTAGAGTCATGGTCTCCTTTGTAACCTTAATCTTCAACCATTGCCAACAGGCTGCAAAGGAGGACATAGGGGCATCAACAATTAGGCTTTCAAAGTTTCTCCTCCTCCAAATCGCTGTTGAGGTCGTACAGAAAAATAGGGTGTGCGTGATAGACTCCTCAGTTGACTCTCATATATTACAGTTACTATTAGTAACAATATGCCGTTGGTGTAGCCTCAATTTGACAGCCATATTACCCTTTAAAGCATTCCAAATGAAGTGCTTGAGTTTTGGGGGAGCACTCATATGCCATACCGACTTCCAAATATCCTCCGAAGTATTGTCAGTATTACCTCCCAACCTCAACATCCAATAGCATGATCTGACTGTGAACTGACCATTTTTGGTAGGTCGCCAGTAAACTCGGTCCTCTTCGCTGGTGAAAGGGAGGGGCAACGCAAGAGCTAATTCCGCATCGACACCTAGAGCATCTCTCACTAGTTGTTCATTCCATTGCCCTGGAACGTCACCCATCAGGTCTGCCACAGTTAGCTCTTCATTCACAACTTGACTCCCCCTTTGTGGAACCACTCTAGCTCCATCCCGAAATAGCCAGGGATCCTCCCAAACCCTTACCCCCCTGCCATTACCGATCTTCCATCCTAGACCATCACGAAGAATTCCTTTTGCCCCCCACCAACTTCTCCACAAATAGCTCGGATCATGACCCTTGCAAGCTTCTAGCACCCCCGACCGTTTGAAGTATTGAGCCTTCATTACAGCATGGACTAGAGAATCCGGATTGATTAGTAGCCGCAAGCATTGCTTTGTGAGGAGGGCTTGATTAAAATCCTTCAGATCTCGAGAACCCATCCCACCAATGCCTTTTGGGCTACACGGTTTTTCCCAGGACTGCCAGTGTATTTTGTGCTTCACTTCCGACGATCCCCACCAAAACCGGTTCATCAGTTTATGAATTTCCTCAATGATGCTGTCTGGTATCCGGAAAAGACGCATTATATATGTAGGCATTGCCTAGATAACCGTTTTAAGAAGCACTTCTTTACCGGGCTTTGAGAGAAGCTTATCCTTCCAACAACTAAGTTTCTTTCGTATCCTGTCACAAACTTCCCCAAAGATAGCCTTCTTTGACTTCCCGATAATTGTGAGCAGCCCCAAATATTTCTCATGCTTTTCTATTTCCCTGACTCCCAACATATCAACAATAGCAGCTCTTCTATCCGCAGAAACCTGTTTACTAAAAGCAACTTCAGCTTTGTCTAGATTGACATGTTGGCCCGAGGCTCGTTCATACTTCCTGATAATATCAGCAATTTTGGAGCATTCCTGTAAAGTAGCTCTCGTAAACAGTATGCTATCGTCTGCAAAGAACAGATAAGAAATTCTGGGAGCAGCCCTGCAAATTTTTGCACCATGTATACCTTTATCACTAGCAGCCTTAGATAACAAGCAGTAAAAGACATCAGCGCACAATAAAAATAAATAAGGGGATATAGGATCACCTTGTCTCAACCCCCTCGAAGGTGTGACAGAGCCATAAATCTCATTGTTCAGCTTCAAAGAAAAGGACACCTTTGAAATACAATCCAGCACCCTATTACACCACCCATCGAAAAAGCCCATTTTTCTCATAACTCTCTCCAGAAACACCCATTCCACCCTATCATAAGCTTTACTCATGTCCAGCTTCAAAGCCAAAGTCCCCGATCTCCCCTCCCCTCCTCTTTTCATGGCATGAAAAATCTCAAAAGCAATGGTGGCATTATCCGTGATGAGATGCCCCGGTATAAAAGCACTTTGGTTTGCAGAAATGATGGTGTTCAGGAATGGTTTTAGCCTATTAGCTAGGGCCTTTGAAATGATTTTATGTAGAACATTACAACAGCTAATAGGTCTAAAATCCTTCATGTGCTTAGGCTCGTTACATTTCGGGATTAGAACGACACATGTTTTATTTAACATTGCAATATCAAGTCGCCCTTCCCACCAATTTTTAACCATACAGACAATATCATGCCCAACAATATGCCAGAATTTTGAAAGAATAAAGCATGCATACCATCGGGGCCCAGAGCTTTTTTGGGGTTCATCTGGAACAAGGCTAACTTCACTTCATCTGCGGTAGGTATTTTATCAAGGCAATTATTCATTTCCGTCGACACTAGAGGCAACACTCCTTGCAGGCGTCCTCAATGTCCGAGGGATTATCAGAGTGGAAAAGAGACTTAAAATAAGAAGATATTGTACTCTTAATTCCTTCTTCATCCTCTCTCCATATGCCCGCAGAGTCATAAATACCATCAATCCGGTTTCGAACTTGTCAGTAGCTCGCCTTTCTGTGAAAATAAGCAGTATTTTTGTCACCATCTTTCATCTCGTTTGCTCTAGCTCTTGCAAACCAATAAGATTCCTCCATCCTCCTCAACTCGGCAATTTCCTCGGCAAGCCTCTCACATTTCTCAAGTAAATAGCCATCCAAAACCGCCCCTTGAGCCTCTTTTAATTTGTTTTCACGATCTTTCAATTTCTTCTTTATATCTCCAAACTTCTTATTAGCCCATGAAGTAAGAGAGCTTGCACACAATGCCACTTTTTCATGCGGCTTAGCCTCAGCATTACCCTTCCATGTCGTATCAACCACTTCTTCACATTCTGCATTTGATAACCACCAAGCTTCAAACCGGTATGGCTTGCTTCTTTTCCCACGATCAAAAACAACAGTTGTGTTCATCATTATAGGTGCATGATCGGATGTAATTCTCACCAAGTGCTTAACCTCAAACTGGGGAAAAAGTTGGCACCACGCATCATCCCCCAAGAACCTATCAAGACGTTCATGGATTACCGTTTCCATTGTTTTCCCTCGCTGCCAGGTAAATGCACAACCTTTAAACCCCATGTCTCTTAAATTGCAAGCTTTAATGGCATCACGAAAATTCTGCATTAGGTACTCTCTCCTCATTGTACCACCTTCTTTCTTTATAGGGCTGTAATCTCGTTAAAGTCTCCGAAGAATAAGCATGGTATGGAACTCTCCCCTTTCAACTTCCTCATCAACTCCCAAGTCTTGTGTTTATTCTCGGTTTATGACCAGCCATAAATCCCACACGCCCTCCATAGAGGTACACCCCCACTATCACATATGTCCAACGCACAGTGATGGTCTGAATATGACACCATCGAAGCATTAACATCATGCCACCAAATACATAGTCCCCCTGACCGCCCCCTACTACTCATATTTACCCTGTTCTCAAACCCGCATCGATGCTTAGTTCTCTCCATCACACTAGCATCCACCTTGGTTTCCATTAAGAAAACCACATTCGGCCTCTCCCTCCAACATATATCCCGGAGGGTGTTACCCGTCTTCGGATTGCCAGCCCCGAAGACGTTCCAACTTAAGAGCTTCATTGTTGTTCGAGGGGATGGTTATTCCCATCCTCCTCTACTTGGATAACACCATCCCCGGTAGTACAATTGCCACCCATCTTCCTCCTTTTTTCCCCCTCCACCTGCATAGTCGAACCTCCATCATTCCTTCCATCAAGCATAAGCCTCTTTTTACCTATTGTACTCTGTTCACCTACCCCCTTCTTCTCCGTTTCACCGTAGTATTTCACACTCATTTTATCAATTCTTTTCCACCCCCGTTTTTTAAACCACATGTCAGCATTTGATTCATCCTCATCACCACTCGTAAGCATACATGGCCGATGGTCCCCTATATCACTTGCACCTCGTGGTTTGTTGCAATCTAACCCCTCTTCCCCATCATTCACCCCCAGCTATTCCACCATCTAGTACAACGACCGTGCCAGCAAGTTGAGTCTCGTTCCGCTTCTTGTTGTCCTTCTCATTTTCATGAACTTCATGCATAACAGTCGAAAATTTTGATATTCGAGAACCCTGTATTAAAACAGGAAATTACTAATATCTTCATCTTCCCAAACTGTATATGTATCGCTTTTTCATAAAATAATTTCCCGCCTAATGCACTTATGATGTCATATATATTTTTGGCTATTTTTTATTTTTAATCATTTTCATTTCAATCTTTTGACTGTGTCAATAATAAGTAAATAAATAATAATTATTTTTTGATAACTACGAATATTTTTTTTATTATTATTTTTATCTTTTTAAGGTTTTAATGTTATTTTGTGTATGTGTGTTAGTTTTTTTTTTTATTATTTTTTTTAATACTAAGGATTGTGCAAGCAACCTAACTATGAAGTCATGTACTAATAATATGGATGTTTGTTATACAAAAATGAACTAATGTTGTCGGTAAATGTTTTCATTGTTTTGTTATTCCAAGGTGTTTCTATTTATTTAAATTACAAGTATTTTAATTTGTATTTCGAACTCTTAGATGACATATAAATTCGTATGCAGATGGTCTGATTAGATCAGATTGATCGGCTTTTATATTTATATTTTGTTACCTATGTAATAATTTATATATGATGGCAGATATGTTTTTATGATCTAATTTATAAGTATGTCCAGAGTTATAAATAACATAAATACGTAGTAAGTTATTTCATTCCAATAATTTTTTGCACGGGCCTAATCTAGTTCATTAATAAAAGGAAAATTTGTTAATAACGACCCCTAAAAGCACCCTTTGTTGAACTAACCACCTGTTTTTTTAGAAATTAAAAAAAATCACCTATTAAAGACAAAACCAGTAGATATCACCACCCTTCTCCTATTCTGGCCAATTTTCCAATTTACAAACGATATGTCGCTGCAATATGCAGCCTTTTGGATCAGAGAGACAACTAAAAATTTGTTGTCGGCACGTCGCTATGATGATGATTTTCCGTTCATTTGATTCATCTTATTGTATTCGAGAAATAGATAAATTTTGCGATACCGCATAATTTTTCACCAATGAAACAATTTTACCACAGAAATCCATCAAAGCAAAAAAGCAAATATTCTCTCAAAAGAATAAATTAAAAGAAAAACTATGTCTTTCAAAGGTGATATATCCTTCTAGAGTAGAAGAAAAACAAATTAAACCTGTCTTTTTATATAGGGAGAAAAGTTTCTCCTAGAAGCCGAAAATTAATGTAAACCTAAAAACAAACAAAAGCAAAGAGAAAAGGCACATAAGAAACAACGATTGGGGCTTTCCACCGATGAAAATTCTTCTGCAATTCAACACTGAAGGCTAAGGTTTTAGAATGAGGAGAGAGGAGAAAGTGTTTAGGGATTCTAACTATGTAAATCTTTGTCAAAAGAAATATTTTGTACGATTTTTCTCTTGGTTAAGTTAACTAAATTAATTTTGTTATTCTCGTTTCAATTCTTTTCCTAAGAGAGAAATAAAGTTAAGTTTTATTTAGAGACAAATAAATAATAATTTTATTTGGTATATATAGCCACGAAGGGAGGTGATGAGAATCAACTGAGCTCTCCCACTCTCACAGAATAAGTATTAATACTTTCATTTATCAACCAAAAAATGTGGAGAGAATAAAAACTTGAGCCAACAATTAGTAAAGTTATTCCCATCGCCCAATGAATGATTAAGAACTCGAACCAACTTGTAATGTTATTCCCTTGACGATCAATAGTACTACCAACTGAGCTCACCATTGTCATAAAGTTGGTATGTTTTTGTCATAAGCATAACTATGTTATCCTATTGGCTATTTTACAAATCAATACATAGTTTACTTAATCTTGTTTTTTCATGTCTATGTTATTTATCGAATCTTGCGATATTTGCCTTTTCTGAATTATTCATTAACAAATTAAGTTGACCTTATTATATACTTCTTCCTTTTGGTTTTACTTGCAAAGTTGCAAGTCGTGCAATATTTTGACCTATGTACTATTGACATACTCTAATTTGATTACTTCATATCGTTGAAAATTTATATTTCAAGAGAAATATAATTATATGAAAACTTGTTAGAATCTACTAACTCAATTTATACCTTCAAAATATCAAATTTTTATAGTCGTTTTCATTTATTGATAATAAAAAGTACTAATAATTAAAGTAATGCATTGATAAGTATAAAAAGCCAAGTGTTGCAAATAAAATGAAATTGGGGAAAATGTTATGCCTATTTCTAATTTATTATTATTTTTTAATTATACATTTACTAAAATAGACCCACTTTTTATCATAGTTTTTTCATGTAAAATACAAATTTCTCAAATTCTCGTGCCATTATTTACTCTTTTTAATTTCCCACCTACGTACGAAATATACTTATTTATCAAAAGCTTACTAATCATCATTAATTAATTTTTTTTCAAAGTTTCATGGCCCGTTCACTTCACCTTATTTTTGCTGAACTAAAATTATTTTTACTAAATTGAAATTATTTTTGCTGAACTTAAATTATTTTCACTGAACTGAAATTAATTTTACTGAACTGAAATTATTTTTGCTGAACTAAAATTATTTTTACTGATTTTCTGTTATATTTCTTCTTTAAAGTTACTGATTTTTACTGAACTGAAATTATTTTTACTGAACTTAACTTATTTGTATTGAAATGAGCCTATTTTTGCTAAGTTGAAATTATTTTTACTGGAGTGAAATTATTTTTACTGAATATTATTTTTTTTAAGGTGAATTGAACAAGGCCTTACTCTAAAAACAAGATGAACACTATATTATGAGTGAAAATTTTATAGTAGTCGTTTGAAATATGACTACCATAATGTTTTGATGATTATGTAGTTCATAATTGACATATTTTTCTCCAAGTAGTAAATTGTATTACTTTATTTTTGGTATGAAATAGTATTATATATCAACATTTTTTTATTTATAAAATTTTTAGTTTTATTTTTGTAATTATTATTATTATTATTTGATAGTTTCTCGAAAAATATTTATTTTATGTTGGATTAAAATTTTTAAAAATTATATTTGCATTGTAGATATTAGAAAACTAATTGTGTTCATATTATAATGTGAAAAAATTAGATTGACTATATTATTTATTATTAAAATAATATGATAAGAATTTAGAAATATTATGAGATAGAGGGAGTAAGAATTTAGAAAGAAATGTACCATATATGGATTTAATTGTTGGGCGTCAAACATTAATAATACTACATATTTAATGTTAAACTAGTCTATCTATTATTTGTAATTTAGGAGTCAACCACAGTGGTCCACAGACAAACAATTAGGATACTGTATTATATAAGACCTTTCTTGAGTAAAGCATAAATACAGTCCCTGAAGTTTCGTATAAAAGCCGTTTTAGTCCCTCTTTAACTTTTTTCACCAATTTAGTCCCTCAACCACCCACTTTAGTGTTTTTCAGCCAAAAGTTGAGGGACTTTGCTGACTAAGCAAAAGTTGAGGGACCTTGACTCATCAAAAAAGTTGAGGGATGTTGAGTCACCAAAAAGTTTAGGGACTTTGACATGGCAAAAAGTTGAGGGACTTCAACCCTATTAATATTTCAATAAAAAAAAAGCTAATATTGTTCTTTCCAAAAAAAAAAGGTAATATCGAATTTTTTTTTTTCTGAATTAATAAACTAGCCGTTATCAGAAATGAAGGCTATAAATCTTCGAGTTCCATGAACAAACAGCAGCTCTTGAACATCCAAAAAAAAATATTGACCACGACCAAGCCGGATTGTTCGAGAAGCCGCCGACAAAGCCTTAGCAGTGGCGGCGCGTGGGCGAACGCGTTGGAGCCGAGCCATATTGAAGAGCCGATTTTGGCTTAGCTTCCTACACAAGAAGCTTCACAAACGGCAGCGTGTTACGGCAGCCGGGGTTAACCGGTCACCGCCACAGAGGAAGCCGAGGATAGAGATATTTAAGCTAAAGGGAAAAGGTAACCGGTTACCGGATGTTCAAAGGAAGGTGAAGACTCTTGGTAGGTTGGTTCCCGGTTGCCAGAAAGAGCCACTTCCGGTGATTCTAGAAGAAGCGACGGATTATATACCGGCGCTTGAGATGCAGATTCGTGCGATGAGAGAGATTCTGTCTCGGCTTAGCACCGGTAATAGGGATGGTGAAGGGTCAAGTTCCGAACCCGCAGTCGCGCCGGAAACGGGTTCGGTTTAGTTTCGTTATTGTTATTGTTATTATTATGTATAAAAATCTTTGTTTGATTTATAGGGTAGTGATGTTTTTAATTTTGTTATTCACCAAGAAAAATGGTAATCACAGATTATCCTGTTTGTTTTTATTTATCCATTTCGGAGGTAGAAAAAAAATAAATTACAAATTCTGACATCAAGTCCCTAAACTTTTTGGTGACTCAACATCCCTCAACTTTTTTGATGAGTCAAGGTCCCTCAACTTTTGCTTAGTCAGCAAAGTCCCTCAACTTTTGGCTGAAAAACACTAAAGTGGGTGGTTGAGGGACTAAATTGGTGAAAAAAGTTAAAGAGGGACTAAAACGACTTTTATACGAAACTTCAGGGACTGTATTTATGCTTTACTCGACCTTTCTTTATGACATATATTTTTATATGTTATCTACCTTTCCCAATTAGCCAAAATTCTTCATCTTTAAACCCTCTTCATACGAATCATACCAGCTTTTCGTTCTAATAATTAAAAACATATGAATGATTAGAAGAAACCTTCTTCTAGTCCCTTCAAAAACCTTCTTATAATCCTGTATATACAAATACAACCCAACTATTTAATTTTCTCTGTTTCATTCATATAATCATGAATGATAAAAATCAGAACACTAGATCATTTATACTAGTAAAACTCATTTATGCTCATCTAAATCACCTCAAATCATGTTGTTTTTCGATCTTATTACTCGCTTTTACCATAACTTTTATACTCACCCTAGCATACTACTCACATAGATTCTCCCTCCATAACATAAACATTATTACTATGCAAACACCACAAAAACTCCATGCTCTGAACACCCCTATATCACCAAGTGCTTCAAAACACTACTCGTACGAGTACAACCACACAATCGAATCATACCCTATTCACGAGTCTACGAGTGATGAGGAGTTGATGAGGAGGGCATCAAAGGTTACACGAATGGAAAATTTTGGGGTGCCTAAGATTGCTTTTATGTTTTTGATCAAAGGATCACTTCCTTTGGCACCTCTTTGGGAAAATTGTTTAAAAGGACATGAAGGATTTTACACAATTTATGTTCATTCTGATCCTTCTTACAAATCTTCAGCTGAATTGTATTCTGGGGTGTTTCGTGGCCGCATGATTCCTAGTAAGGTACGTTTGTTCCATTTGTTGTCCTTTTTTTATGTGTTGGTAATGTTTTTTTTTTTTTTTTTTTTTTTTTAAAAAAAAAAAAAAAAAAAACTTTATTCTTATTGGGTTGATGGATTCGATGATAAGAGTTTGTTTGTATTACTCTGTTTTTTTTTTAGATTTTTAATTTAAATTTAACTCAAAAGTCTCAATTGATCTAAGTTACTATGAAGTATTACCTTGTTTCTACGAGTTATTTACGCTTTTATGATTGATTCGTTTTGAAATGTTCTTTGTACTAGTTTATTTCATTTTGCCTAGCACAACTTACTAGCTTATAGTATTATTACTTCATACTAGTTAATATAATTTTCATCCTTCATTAGTGAAACAATTGAAAATATAGTTTTCATAGAAAATGTTTTCCATTAACACCAACGGCACCCAAACGTGAAAACAAAAAGGCCAGGGATGGAGTTAGCAATTCAGAGTAGTTTTAAATTTGGTCTTTGTCAATTACCTACCTGTACAACTTTTTACAAGTCAATAAGTAAACAAAGACAATATATGCTGTTTCAAAATACGAAGTATATATTCATAATAACCACGTATATTGTCAATAATAGAGGATATTAATATTAATTGATGTAGCTAGTTATTAATTTAGATGGTTTACCACGCAATACACAAGTTAAACATGTACTGTAATAAAAATGAAGGTGCATTCCAATAAGGCAATAATGCGTTGAAAAATGTTGGATGAAAATTGAAAGTCTAACTGGCTAATACAAGAGGGGGGGTGAATTGTATTTGAGGTGAAATCTAAAAACTTTTGCGGAATTTAACTAAATGAAATAATGACGAGAGAAGATATAGGCTTTTCTAAATTTCCACTATGTAATCAAACTCTTTACAAGTGAAGATTCAAACCCGTTAACAAGTTCCACAAACTAGGAACTTGTTCCCAACTCTCACAGAAGCCTTCAGCAACGAAGCTTCCTTGACCTCACTTTACAAACTCACAATCCCAACCCCTAAGTACTTGAATACAATATGTGATTACAAATACCTATTGCACTCAAGAATATAAGAAGGATAATAACTCTCTTTATGTTATTAGAAGGCTACTGGAATTTTTATGCTCAAGAGTTATGTTTTGCTGAGATAGTTTGCATGAGTATTTATAGAGAAGGCTTAGTCATTAACCTCCACCATAATCACGTCCACATGTCAACAACCCACTAACAACTTGTGGAGTTATCTTGACAGATTGTGATCATGAAGAGGTTTCCTAGCCTTATCTAATTAAACCACTATCCTAACAACTTGATAACCATTAGCCGTATAAAAGATTTTCTCACAGAAAAACCACTTGCTAACTTTATCAAATATTTATTTAAAAGATTATCAAAAGTTTGTTTAAAAAGATTTTATTTGAAAAGATAAATTTATTATTTATTAAAACAACTAGATAATTATCTTCGATAATTATCTTTATTAAAACTTTTACAAATTATCTTTTCTTTAAGAAATTATCTTTTAAAACTAACTTTTATTCCAGTAGTCTTTAACATAAGTCATTGAGTTCCTTTCCGACTTTATATTATTGAGTGCTCACAATTAAAACTAGAACGTGAGATTTGCACGAGGCTTTTTAAAGAATGCTACTCCGCATCCAAGTTCCTACTCCGGAACGAACTTTGCTTGAATCCTTTATTCACCAAAGACTCAAAACATTCATTAGTCGAGTTTGTCAATTTGTCCATCAAAACCAAAAGGCTCAACAAATTCCCCCTTTTTGATGATGACAAACATTGACAAACTTAGGTAAATAAAATCATCCAGGCATGCAACAAAAATTTAGAGTAAGGCATGAAAACAAAAAAAAACAATTAAAGAACTTAGAAAAATATTAAAAAGTTTTTTTTTTTTTTTTTTTTTTTTTTTTTTTTTTTTTTAAAAAAAACTGAGCAAAAGAAAAATTAACAAAGACTTTAAAAACTGAACTTAGCAAAAGTTTGTACCTTCGATGTGTGAGTTCCTTGGTAAACACTTTAGCCGCCATGAAGTTTGTCTTTTCCCCCTTTTGGCATTATCAAAAGATTGAAAAAAAACATTTTGCTATACTCCCACTAGACTACGTAGGGAATAGTGAGCTCAAATAATGCAAGGCAAAAATAAGTTAGGTACCAAATTATCAGCAAACACACACAATCATATGAAAAATACGAGCCAAGTTCCGATTTAGGAAATAGAAGAGGAACATAGAGAATGTAGCAAAGGATAAAGGCGTACAAACCAAAGTTCAGAGAGATTAAACAAAACCAAAATAAAATTGTTCAACATATGAAATTAGAATAAGTGCAATCAAGGATTTAAAAGGCTGCATTGGTAGGATCAAGGGTTGGATTTGTGGGATCAATAGAGTCTTCCTCGACTTCCTCAAAGGCTACTCTGTTGATAGTTTCCAAGATCTCCTTGTTGCCTTCACTAAACTTGCCTTCAGCCTGTGCAAGCTTTGCCTCTACGCCTGCAAATCCGGTTGCTTGAGAATCTGCCAGAGCCTGCACCTGGCCTTTAAGAGAAAGCAGTTCCGAGGCCATTTCCTCCAGTTTCTTGCTCACCAGAGTAGTCAACTTCTCCATATCTGCTTTAACCTGTTGAAAATCATAAACAAACACACGAGTTCCAGAGAAAGCAGCAAAGCCAGTAGGCTGAAATGGAGGAGGAGAAGGTGAATGAGGAGGCTGCCTAGTAGATGAGACAGGAATAGAAGAGGGTTCAATGGCAAAGGGGACTTGGGTAGGTTTGAAGGTGGGATCAGATTTGTCTGAGGAGCTGATGGTTTCTACAGTCACAGGGTGTGTAGTAGAAAGGGCAGGCTTGACCACATTCCTCTTACTTCTTCTAAGGCCCCCTGTAAACACAGGAATGACAGGTGGTCCAGCTGTGCTCTCAGAGTCTGTGGTATGTTCCCCTCACTTTGATCAGTTCCCTGCCCCTCATGTGAGTCAGATTTTCGAGCTTCCCCCTCAGAAACTTCCTTATGTTCCCCCTCAGAATCTTCCTGTTTTTCTCCTTGCACATCTCCCTCAAGTATTTTTTCTTTGTTTTTCTCTCCGTTAGAACTTTTTTCTTCTTCCTTATCTCCCTCAGAATCACTGGAGGTGGTAGCACCCTCACTAGCAACCTCACTACCCTGGTCACTGCCCTCCTCATCACTTGCGTCACATTCTTCCTCAGCTTCTTTCCCTTTCCCTTTCTTTTTCTCCCCTCCTTTCCGAGGCACAAAACATACTTTGCCATTTGTAAGCCTAAGACTCAGTCTAAGTAATGATTGTTCAGAGAGGATATTATCGGGTTTGAGATATGTTGGGGATTCACATTCAACATCAATACCAAAAGATTTGACCAACACAGTAAGGAAAGAGCCATATGGAATTGTGGTCTTTTGAGCATAAAAATTCAAGTGTTCAATCATTAGAGCAGGGAAATTAATCTGTATTTTGCATGCAAGACAGAATATGAGGGAGGCATCCAAGAGTGATACGGTACTCCGTTTTTGTAAACGGGGTACTATACCCTTCCAGGTGAAGGTAAACAGTAGCTTATGAAGGGGTGTTAGGGCATGATGGTGAGTAGTTTTCACTTTCGGATTTCCTCCAATAAATTGAAGGATTTTGCATTCATCATTATGGCCAATATTTACAGATTGTTTGTGCTTTAAATAAGAACAATAGCCTTTAACAGGAACTTGAAATAGATTTCCAAGATAATTGGCATCAATCGAAATTGGAATATCATTAACTACGGCCGAGCACACACCATTATCACATTGAAAGGTATTTTTGAACTCATAAATAAGTTTAGGATAAACAGGGTAATGAGAACAATTCTGGAACAAGTG